AGAGACATGGAAACCCACAATTTTCAGGAGTGACAAACGCATGGCTTTGCAGTGCTCTGAATCTGAGGCACCCCAGAATTTTGAGAGAGAACTGCAATTCTTTTGCCTGAATGACTTGCCCAAGGCCAGCCTGGTGGCATGTGATGGAACACAAATTAAAACCTAGAGGATTCATGCATGTTTGTTCAAACCTCAATGACTTATTCCCTAGGCCATCTCCTACACTCAAGGGAGTTTTTCAAACAAATTCCCTGCAGATCAGTGGAAAAAAATGCACACATCTCCTCTTTCCTCGTGTTTCTGATCATGTCACAACCTTAACAGCAATACTTGACACCAGTGAAAAGTTACATCATGGATTAAATAGCATAGGTTTTATTTTATTTTATTTATTTGCAAGTAAGTTAGCAGCAGATGCCTTACTTTAATGGGAAACTAAAAGAAAAAGAGATGAAAAGCATGTGGATATGAAGACGTTTGGATTAGCAAATGTTGAGCACGGCAACTTCAAGGTGATACTGTTATAACGGGACTATATGGTTATCACAGGCCTTGTCTGTAATATTGGTAGGTAGGAAGGAGTGGTATGGGAGCAGTTTATCAGTATGTATTACAGTGATCAGAAAATCAAGTTCCATCTTTGTCATTTGATACGGATTTGCTCACTACAAACCGAAAGATAAAAGGGACAAGCCAGTAAAAGACCTGGCCTCTTGGCTCAAAGTATGACTGTAAAAGTTAATCCATGGGCTGATGCTATTGTATTATTTTATTGCATAGCAGAATATGGAAGGTTTGCTATAACAGAGCCTTGTGAAGTAAAACTACTTATTCCAGATAAAGCACCACCCCTTTCAGATACAGAGTGTTGTTGTTGTTGTTGTTGTTTGAATTCATATCCGCATACCTCTTACAGCTCCCGCTGCTTGGGAAGCAAATTTAAGTGCCAGCTTTATATGCATTGGTAACCCCATATTACACATACAGTTTTACAGAAAATGAAACTTTAATATGATTCAGCACAAAATGGCACTCAATGGCAATAAGTCAGATAATCTTCATATGCACATAGCTTGATCTCACGGACTTATCGCTGCAAGCACAGTGCCGCGTAGCAAATTTCCCTGCAATACAGTACAGTACCTGGGTGTAATTACGGGCACATTTTGCCAGTGCGACTGTTACACAGAATTGTAATTAATTCCTCAGAAGATTACTGTGAGAATTTTGGATACCGATGCCGGTTTTGGACATTTATTACTGCTCTTTAGTTGGTTTTTTGCTGTGCCTCAGAGACAGATGTAAAATTAGTGTCTGTTTTGAGCCAGCAAACAGTACGTCTTACCCTCCTGTTTATTGAATTGCAGAGCGGAATTTTTTGGGCTCCCACTTCTTCGTGGTTTCGAAGTAATAGTCTGCTTATTGTGCCAACTGGGGTGCTCCACTACATGTGAAAAAAATTTCAAGAGGCTCGAGAAAAAAAGTTGCTAATTTGACCTAATGCAAAAAGGGCATCAGATGAAGTTTGGATGCTGGGTGGCCAGAGGCAAAGGAGAAGACGGCTCCTGTACCTTTAAAGGCCACGTACTAAGGGGAATTTCAGCATGTGCCTGCATTCCTAGGCATCACATTAGAAACTGCACCTGACAAAATTCTCTTTTCCCCATGAATGAAGGGACTTTAAAGGTACAGATAATAGTTACTCTATTCTCCATTGAACCTTAGTTACCCTATAAATAGGACACATTGTAAAGGAGGGCTTTTATTTCTCAGTGTCAAGTGAAGCATCATGGATCATAATGGCAAACAAAAAAAGAAAAAAAGAGTAAACCAGTCCAAATCTTGGTTAGAGAGCACTTCATTATTGGCAGGCAGAATGGGGGAAAAGCCCTTGTTTAAACTGGGAGATAAGCTGTATCGTTGAGATCTGCTTGTACTTATTTCAAGGCCTGCTTGTCCAAATGTGGTGGATGAGGAAGGCGGGGGATGAGAAACCTTTCATTTATTTGTTTTATATCCAGCATGTACAAACTATTCCCTTGTATACTTATTTCTTCCTGCCAATAAATAAACAAATGGACAAATAAATAAATGAGCGAAGAAGGGCTGTTTTCCACAGCTGCAAACAGACAGGTATACTCCAGGGATGAACACACACAAAAGGGGGCATTAATGAATGTGTACTAAGGGGTACAGTTCACCAAGCACAGCTGTTTCTGCAACACAACTTCCATTCATTTCAGTAGTGTGTGGTGGAGTTGCTTTGCAAGCCCCATTGAAAAGAATGGAAGAAGAAACAGCAGCAGCAGCAGCAGTAGCTGATAGGATTGTGGCCATACTCATGTTTAGTATTTTAGCCAAATCCACCATGTTTCCCATATAGATAATATTTATTGTATCTAGTTCGAATCGGGAGGGATATACAAAAGGGTGAGGAGAGAAAGGCTGTGTTACATTGACTGGCACTCTGAGCTCGTGCGCCTGGTCGGAAGATGGCAGAGATCTTCCATAAGTGAAGTTGACAGCAGTTGTTTATTCAGTTCAAAAGTATTTACTACTATTTGTGAGAGAGGACCCTAAAGGTTGGGAAGTATTGTTGGCCTCCGATGGTGATGGATGATCTGTTCCTGACCCCATATAGTGAGACATGACTTCATTGCATGTTTAGATTGTTCTGATATTTGGGACTCCTCAAGGGCTGTTCATAAATCATTTATCTTTCTTCCTCTCCCTCCTAGTTCCCCCCCTCCCTTGAAGAAAATATTTCAGTTGCATT